CTCTCCACTCTCTCCCTCCGCACTCTTTCTCTCTTCCCCAGCCTCTCTCTCTTCACTCCCTACCTCCACACTCTCTCCCTCTCCACACTCTCCATTTCAACACTTTCCCTCCACACTCCTCCCTCAACACCGTCTCCCTCCACACTCTCTCCCTCCTCCCAGCTCTCCTCCCTCTCCCTCTGGCTGTCAACTTGTAGAGACATCTTCTTGATGTCAATGGCTGGATTAGCTCCACAGTTGACTCTCTCTCCGGAAATGAGACTGGAATAAAGAGCCAAGCTCCATGCCTTTTGCACTGGGTCCACTCAGGAGTGAGTTTCTGATGGGCACCAGGCATCAGCTCATCCTGACAGCGAAAAGCCCCATTCACCAGGGGAGGTATTGCTGGAGAAAATACCAGGTGCCATTTAATGACATTTCACTGATTATTTTTATTATTCATGCGTTTGTTTGCAGCTGCTAAACTTAGGTAAGAGTTCTACCTCTTCCTAGGTCAGATTGCCTTTTTAACCTCAGTCCACCAGTTGATGATTTCCCCGCAAGGATTCCACTTAAATCTCGCTGCCAGTAAATATTATTGGAGACTGTGACCTGCTCCCACTCTCTTTATCTCTGGAAGGCTAAATGGCGATAACTGTAAGAATGCTATGGGCAAGGATCGAGAGCTTGCAAACAGCACACAATTCTAGAAGAAATTGTATTGGAGTCAGTAAAAACTCTTTGCTGAGTTCTTGTAGATATTTAAAAATGGATAAAATGAGCTTGTATTCTATAGTCACTAAATGAGTTAATCTGTACTGGCTGTAGCCATTTAAATGTGAAATACATTTTCAAATTGACACCTTTGTAATTTTATATTCATGTCATGTGCTTGATATCATAAGAAAGGGAAAAAAAGAGTAGACTAATCTGACTGTCCAACTTGATTCCTCATTGAATAAGATCATGTCTGAGCATTTTTCTCAAATCCACCTTCTCCACTTCTCTGTACTCTTCAATTCCATTAGTACTAAAATATCGAGGCATTTCTGGTGTACCCATTTCCAGCTCTCTAGGATAGAGGATTCCAAAGATTCACAACACTTCCATTCAGGAAATCTCCCCTCATATCAGTCCTACATATCCACCACCTAATGTGAAACTGTGCCCTCCCTGTCTAAGCTCCACAGCCAGGGTAAGCATCTTTGCAGAATCTACGCTGTCAACACCCACAGAATCTTACAATGTCCCAATGTCTCATTCCTCTGATCTTTGGGAAATAGAGAACCAGTCTATTCAACCTCTTCAGAGGATAATGTCAGCACCCCAGGAGTCAGTCTTGTGAATCTTCACTCCCTGAAAAGCAAATATACCCCATCCTCATTGGAGAAATATTCTTGCCAACTCAGTATTTTGTAAATAGGAACACAAGAACCTAAGAACTAGGAACAGGAGTAAGTCATTCAGCATCTCGAGCCTGCTCCATCATTCGGGGCTTTAATTCCACTTTCCTACCTGCTGCCCATAACCCTTCAACCTGTTACTAATTAAAAATCTGTCGCTCTCCTTAAATGTATTCAATGTCCCATAATCCACCACACTTTGGGGGAGTGAATTCAACAGATTCACAACCCTTTGAGAGAAGTAATTTCTTTACATCTGTTTTAAATTTGCTACCCTTTATCCTAAAACTATGACCTTGCGTTCCAGATTGCCCCACATGAGGAAACATCCTCTCTACTTCTACTTTGTCAATCCTCTTTAGTGTTTTATATACCTCATCATTCCATCTCCTCTCATTCGCCTAAGCTAAACTAAAAGAAGGCCATATTCATAAAGTAGGATAAGGTTTGTTGTTTCAGAAACTGCAGTCATTTCTTAAAGCAACATTTCTCTCTCATTGTTTTTCACAAGGGCATTCCTTAATTGTTTGATTCAGTGAAGTGGTCCAAATAACCCAAGAAAAGGGGAGAAGGCGGTGAAATGGTAATCTGACCTCAAGCCGATGTTCTTGGGATGCGTGTTTAAATCCCACCAGACAGGAGGCAACATTTGAATTCAATATAAATCTGCATTAAAAAGCTAGTCTAATGATGACCATGAAAGCAATATCAATCGTCACAAACAAAAAGATTCTGGTTTATGAAGGCTCAGAAAACGCCAGCCTTGCCTGATCTAACCTACATGTGACTGCAAATCCACAGCAATGTGGTTGACTCTGAACTTCCGTCTACATAATTAGGGATGGATAGTAAATGCTGTTTTGCCTGTAATGCCCATATCCCATGAATAAATAAAAGAAACCATGCAGATCGGAAATTGTCGATGCTGTAGGTAAATAGAGGGATCATACCCTCAATGAGGATTGGAAGGTAGCAAATGTTATGCCATTATAGAAAATGATGGAAAAATAAGCAAATCAATTAATACAAGCTGTAGAGCTGGATGAACACAGCAGGCCAAGCAGCATCAGAGGAGCAGGAAAGCTGACGTTTCAGTT